CTTGTTTGCAATGTTGTTTGAGAGCCAGTCCAGTCCCTCATACAGCCCTTCACCGGAAGTGGCACACGTGCTCTGGATATACCTGCAAAATACATAATATAGAAAGTGTCGTAGATATCCACAAACAGAGAGGATAAAACACTTGGATATGCATACACAGAGAGAAAAAGAAAGTAATCTCATCTTACCAGTGGCGCTGGCGGAGAGAATGAAGGCCGAGCTTGTCAGTAATCTCAGCAGCATTCATAGCGTTTGGAAGATCTTGCTTGTTGGCAAATACCAGCAGCACAGCATCCCTCAACTCATCCTGCCAATGCACATTAAATAATATAGTAAATTTCAGCAAGACACCCCCTCTAGTGTGCAACTTTTCATAATTCCAGCATGTTCATTAGAATCACAGGACTGGCAATAAGAAATTTTATGCTCAAGTACCTCATTCAACATCCTGTGCAACTCATCTCTAGCTTCAACCACACGATCTCGATCATTGCTGTCAACCACAAAAATAAGTCCTTGTGTGTTTTGGAAGTAATGTCTCCACAATGGTCGGATCTATGCAGAGAAAATCAAAGCAAATCAGCTAGTGGAATAATTAAGGTAAACAAAAACCTATGAATACTTTTTCATTTTTCAAACAGATCTGACAATATCTAAGATATACTCAAAACATAAGGTCCAATTTTAACTGCTAACCTTTGCATATACCTATCAGGCATATTGAGGACTTATCTTCAAAGGACTACACATATTCAGGTTATCAAGATGCTTAATTGCTGATAGATTACATAAGACCAGCACAAATGCCATTTATAACCACTCCTTTCCCCTTTTTTGGATAATTATAAAATTTTCCGATAATTGATACCCACTCCTTTTCACAAGGGGAAATAGAAACAACAGCTAAGAAGGTATTAAACATAACATATGGAAAAACACCCTATTTTTTTATTTGATGCACTCTTTACAATTAAAACTAAACCTAGTTACCTTGTCCTGGCCACCAACATCCCAAACGGTAAAGCTGATGTTCTTGTATTCCACGGTCTCAACATTGAAACCTACAAGGATATATCATAATTAGAAATATCCTACTTTGGTACAAAATTCATTTGAATGACAAATATTAAAATTTATTTGAAAAAGAAATGTTAAAATTCATACGGCAAAAAGGACTTACCAATGGTAGGAATGGTAGTGACAATCTCTCCCAACTTAAGCTTGTAAAGAATGGTGGTTTTACCAGCAGCATCAAGCCCAACCATCAGTATACGCATCTCCTTCTTGGCGAAAAGCCGGCTGAATAGCTTTGTGAAAGACAGCCCCATTTTTCACGTCTGCCAAACACCAAAATCATCGATTTAATTTGAAATCAAAATAAATATAGCATATTCAAGATCAGAGCAGATCCAATGGCTAGAATTCAAAAAACACAGAAGATCGTTTGAGGAACGATCGGCACAAAACCAGGCCTTAATTGATCCAGATCAAAACATAAAAATCTGAATCCAATCTATTACGATATAATTTCAATTCGAAAAATGTAGATCGGAGCACTTTAACGAACTTACGACGCTTCCAAGACTCAGATCAGATGAAACTATGCAAGGAATTGAAAATTCGAGAGATTTAAAACAATTTAGAAGCAAAATTGACGTGAAGTTTTGAAGAACATTGAAAAAGGAAAAGGCAGATCAGGAGAGATCGGCTAAAGCAGAGCCAAATAAAGTGAGAAATGAGAAAATCTTGTTGGTTTTGAGAAGAAAGAGAGAGACTTGCCTGAGAGAAATGCGAACGGTTATTACGCGGAATCGAACGAAGCAGAGAAGCGAAGATCTCCCCCTCTCGAAATCAAAGGAGCTGTCCTTCAATGTTTTACGCAGATTTGGAGATTGGGTATTTATAGATCCAAACAGGATCTTAGTTGACGGAACACCGTCTTCTCTTTTTGATTTTTCACAGAACTTTGGCAGTTAGTTAGCATTGTCCTCTATGACGCCGTTATGACGACGCTTGATTTGAACGCGTTGTTGTTCGTAGTCTGTTTCGTAAATGGGAGGTAGGGTTCCCTAGCGGGGATAGTGAGTTTTAAAATAATTGAATAAAACTAAGTTTTTTTCAATAAAAATTATTTACTTATTTTGGTCTTCAATTTTTATTTTTTTTTGTAAAGGTATGTTTTTAAAAAATGAGGAGAGAACGCTTCTCTCTATGGCTTTATCTAAATTTTTTTAAAAATTTATTTTTAAAAGAAATTATTTTTTTTATGATTTTTTTAAATTTTTATTTGAATTGATTTTTACTTTTAATTGATAAATAAGTTGAAAGAAAATCAAACTAAAAAAACACTAAATCTAATGCATATCTCATGTTACCCTTAATGATAAATTTGAATATTTAATAATTATATAATAAATAATATTTTACATCTATGGTTTTAATAATATTAGGAAATGGGGAGACCAAGGTCTAGGTTGCCCTCCCTATCCTATTCCCTCCCATTAGGAATAGTGAGAGGCGTTATTGTTATTGAACCCGCAGCTATTCGCCATGTAATGGTCCACAACTCCAGGCGGAGCCTTGAATTTTTTTACCCAAAAGAAGGTTCATGATCCAATGACACCAAAAGCATTGAACCAGGGGCTGGACAGGATGGCACAGAAAGAACAGGTTGATGTTGGCATAAAATGAGGCAGCCAGGCAAAAGAGACCATCGATACACACCTTTTTACAGTTGCTAAAACATATAAATTTTCCAATCCGAAGGAATGGACTCCCTATACCCCTTTGGGTTGCAAGTTTTCACAGCAGACACCATCAAAGAATTGTTTGTTTTCTTCTATATGGATTTCTCCACCTTCTCTCTTTTAAGCACAAGGAATGTTCCACTAAAGCTGTACAAATCTGAAAAAGCATAAGCTTCTCGATTATTCAATTCTTTTTATTATTGGATTTGCGATAACATGGAAAACCACATAACTAGTCTTTTCCCTTAATTAATTTTATTCATCATCTGATATTACATAGAACAATGGCAGTGTCATAAGCTTCAATGTCTGCAACAGGCAGCAGCCACTGTGCTTAAAGCAGGATCTGCAACAAAGGTCTTGATGATAATCAGCAGCACTGATATTGCAACTTAGCTCAATGCAGTGGCTGACATATCAGCACGTCCTCCTGTCATTCTCTCCGCTTTCTCTCCACGCTCACCTGAAAGTTGGGAGTATACAGTTGTTTAAGGCACAGTTAGAGCCTGTGGTTTTCCTAAAGCAAAGAAATGATCAGTTGTTGTAATCTCAAATGGTTATTAGAATGTTACCTGTGCGAACTCTTATAACATCCGAGACAGGGACCACTGTAGCACCAGTGAACATCATCAGGAGTTTGATCATAAGTTTAATAAGTAGTATTAATCAAAATAAACAGCTTAAATTCTTCATTTATAAGCATGAAAATTAGATCACTCTGGACTCTAAGCAACAATCTCACTCTTGCGTATGCAGCTACAACACAGGAAGCAAAAAAGAGCAAGAGACAATTTTAAAACACTGTAGTCAGTGAGGTTATGTAGCAAACATTGTTCAATTAATGGTAGTTATCATGAAACAGCTGTCAGTGCTTCTGACAATTAGACTTGGACATGCAGAATTTGATCAATATTCCCATTTTGTCAAATGTCCGCACAATCATGGAGAATTTGATCCCATATTCCCCATCAACCCAAATGTCTTCCCACATATCTGTGGTGATAAAACTCCCTTCTGTTCATGAAAGAAAAAGACTAGAAAGTTCCAAACAAAACCTAGTCAGTTAAAGTTTTCATTAAACAGCTTTTGCACTCTTTTTTTTTTTTTTGGAAAATTAGTAAATTCATTTCATCAATGAACTTTACATGCCACCGAACGGTGGTAGGGTAGAGCCATGTTTGAGTTGGCAACTAAACCAGCCTCCTCTCAGTGAATCGTTGGATCAAATACATTACGTAATCCCCTCATGTTGTATATGCAATAAAACTCCAAAGACAACACCAATAACTCAACCTGCCCCCCCTCCCATAACCAGAAACAGGTTTTGTACTTAACCTGATAGTTCAGAGCCATAAAATTCAGAAAAAAGGAAATTAAAGGATTTCATTTTAAGAAATTGAGGAGAAAGAGTTTAAATCCTTACAAAAAATCTTGCCATCACCAATCTCTCCAGTTCTTGCTTCCTCAATTATCTTATCTATTACGGCTTCGACCTTTCACAGGATAAGCATTTAGAAATGAAAGTGAAATGAGTACAAATGTACCACCAAATAATTCATATTTAGAAGAAATGACTCTTCAGATTGTATATGTATATACCTGGTCCTTGCACACCACAATCTCCATCTTGACCTTAGAAACAAACTTATCTTCAGAAAATTCAGAACCTGCAGAACAATAAAGATGAAGAAAATAATAAAAAAGGGGAGTATCAGCAAACTGAAGTCTGGCTATGAAAGAGTGCAGAAATTGAATAAGATACATCAACTAAAATCTGCTGACTTGCTCAATATCATTGCCATCAGATAGATATAAATTTAAGTATATAAAATCAAAATAAAGAAGAAAGAGGTAAAACTTTCAACTCTGTGAATGCGACAAAAGCTTACCACCATGTCTCTCTGTTGAACCCCCCTGAGCACCAAAGCCTCGAACATCAGAAACCGTAACACCACGAATACCCATTTTCAGAAGAGCCTTTGTTTTCAGAAAAGAAACCAAAAATTAGATCCAACAAGGGTGTTTGCCCATCTCCTGAGTAACTTGAAGGGGCTTGAATAAAAATAAACACAGGTCTAAAACTTCAAGACTACAACAAGCATGATTGTTTGATGAAGAAGCAGTGGTTTGGCCAAACAATCTCAGCTCTCCGATATCAGCCAAATTGCATTTACACTCTTACAACATAGTAAGTCTAATCAACTAATCTTTTGAAACAGTGACAATGTAGGCTTGAACTTGATGTGACTATTCTTGAAGCATGAGAAGGAATATCAAACATGAGTAAGTAACAATGCATTTTTTTGTGATAATATGGCTTTATCACCTTGCGGTCCAAAACTTCCCCAATTCCGATTGAACCACTCCCCCATCTTATGCTAACATACAATCCAATCTCTGCAGTATGAACTATCCCCTAGCCATTAAGACATGGGTACTCTTCTGCCAAGGCATTGCCTTAACTTCGAAGAGTATTGGAAGAATTCTTCACAATCGTAACAATGTTTTCTATTCATGGTAAACTCGAACAAGGAATAGAGAAAGTAATGCTCGAAATTAGTACTAGTATACTAGAAAGAGACCAAGGGCGCAATTTTTAAGTAACATTTGCTACAGACGTTGTTGCAACATTTTAGTACTATATACTGACAGGACAGTAACACAAACCAAAATCTAGTTATAAATTACTATGCACACATCAGTTGTGAAGTCTAGGAGCTCTTACCGACGAAACCTGCTGGATTCGCCAGGGCCTAATCCGTTCAAAAATTCAGCATAAGCAAAAGAAAGCAGAATAAAATTAGATACAATAAACTAACAAACTTATTAAGCCGCACGCTCTTAAAAAGAGAAAAGAAAAAGAATATAATGAAGAACACCTGAGAATGGCTTCCACTTTATAAAATTTTGAATCGGGGGTATAATCTACCAGCAATGAAAACACAAAACTCAGTAAAATTGGAGGCACCCATGATGCATTTCATACTCCGCTGAAGAAGAAAAAATTTACAGTAGAAGTAAATACACATAAAGCTATATTTCAGCTTGCTAAGCTATCCATCCATACCAGGAGAACTTTGGGCTCTGACTACAGGAAGAATTGAAGCGTTTCTCGAGCGTTTCAGGGTGACATTAAGCTTAGATGAACGAGAATCTCTAAAGCTGGGTAGTACAGAACAATAAATGAGAGGATAGTCTTTGCGATGAGAAGGAGAATGAAGAGGAGTAAGCGAGTTTGGGTTTGCTATAGCAGCCATGTTTGGTCGTTGAAGGACACTTGATGTTTGGTCGTGCAGCAGAACCTCGCAGTTAAAGCAATGCTGTCAGTTTACGCTGTTGAACTAACGCTTGATGTTGAAGCCTTGGAAGGCACTTTATGTAGATGGGCTACGGAAAGGAGCCCATTGAAGGAAAGGTGGACTAACACGTCCACAATAATACTATCAAGCCTAGCCCAGCTAGGTCTGCTTTGATTAGAGCCGAACCATGTGCTGGCTATTGACTGCTGCAGCAGCGTAAGGGTTAGTAAGAATGACTGCCAGTGAAAGGGAAGAATTCGTGTACAGGATTAGTACGGCTGAGGAATGGGAAGCATTGCAAAAGAATGAATCTGTTTTTGGCGGAGACCTTGACAAGTCCTCTGGTTTCATTCACCTCAGCTCGCTTCATCAGGTCTCTCTCCAGTCCCTACTTTTTGTTGGGCTTCAAATTCTGATATTTTTATACATGTAATTGGATCATGTTTCTGCTTTATTCTTCGTAATTATTGCAGGTAAAGCCGACATTGCAGAATTTTTTCTCTAACGTCAAGGTGGATTTGTACCTTCTTCAGATTGATGCTAAGAAGGTAAAAAAAAAAGATAAAGCACATCATATTTGCCAATGAAATCCTTCATATCTTTTCATATCTTACTCTCGTCTTTGATAATTAATGTTAGAAATCAAGTTGAAAGGAACATAAACAATAAAACTGATGGGAACTTCCCAGTAATTTACGGAACATGCATGTCTTGATTTTGGGTCCTAATTAGAAATGTAAAAATGCATTTGCAATTATAGGTATCAAGGCAGCAAGAGTACTAGGTTCGTCTAAACTTTAATCTTCACAGCTGGAAATGATAGGAGAGATTTTTTTCTACTTAAAACATGGTAAATGTCATGAAATCTTTTGCAACAATATTTTAGTTGATCAAATCTTAGCAATTTAAGATTATTGGTTCTTATGTGTTGCTTGATAACTCTATCCCTCCAGCGCTGCAGCAAGAAATCAAGGCAGAAAAATGGGAGAAACAAAGAGTTTCTCGCTGCAGCGAAGAAGAAGAAAAAAAAACCCCGAGAGTTTCTCGCTGCAACGAGTTGTTCAGCTGTCTCCAATATAAAACCCACGTCTTCCCCTCTCATTTCCATTTTCTCAAATCTCTAACCCTAACCCCACTCTCCCTCAAAAATCCTCTCTCATAAAATCAAATTTCTCTCATACTTATTGGCAAAACTTTCAAAAATCATCAAAATTCTTGCCAACAAATCAAGATTTGAGGATTTTAGGGAACAGCTTTCCATTAAAGTGCAGATTTGGTAAGTTGCTGTCAATTTTTTTCTAAAATTTGGTATTTTGATGAAAGTGATTGCTTAGGAGACCTTTTGTGAATACTTTTCATTGGATTTTGATTATTTTTAAGAGTAGTAGTAAAATCTTTAAAGTTATGTGGAGTTTTTACAATGAGATTCGAAAATTTTGAAGTTTGTTGATAGTGGTTTTGCCAATTTTCTGCACATTATATGGTCTTTGATAGCTATATTGCATTGGTGTGATTTCAAGGCTGCTGGAAGAAATTTTGAGAGAGTGTTGTTTGTGTTGATTGTTGTTTCTGCACCTTCATCTCGTAACAAACAAATTACAATGCCACAAAGAATGAACTACTTAGAGATGAAGGTTTTATCGGAGCGGATGAACTTGCGCCAGCAACTTGAGGTTGATGGCTTTGCATCTTCTGTACAATCCCATTGTCTAATGGAGCTTTTGGTTGCATAATTTCCTCGTCTTGGCTCCAGTATATTCCCACTTGTTTGCACAACGTGGTGATTAGTGACGGATACCACAAGCCATCTCTACTAGAACTAACAGTATGTAAAATGTTAGCAATAATTAATTGATCAATGTTAAGGGACTTACTTGAGAGGATGGCATATATTAAGACAACCCGGTCCTTGGTCACATCACTTGTATGCTTGTTTGGCAGCATCTTGGCTTAAACAAAATGGTGCCACACCTTATATTCACTCTTAAGAACACTTGCCTTGAAAGTTGCTGGAACCCCCTAGCTAATCTCCATGTGATCCTGAGATTGCCTAAGAAGTTAGTTACCTCCTCTAAGTCCACCTCCCCATTAATGAACTGTGTGTACTCATCACTCTCTAAATCAAGGGTATTGTAGAACCTATTAATGGTGTAGATATAAAATGGTACTCTTTTTCCTCTACAAAATCCCACCCCATTTTCATGTTCTACTACATTGGCATAAAACTCCTTAACTACAAGAATGATTGTCGTCTTGGGTTATGAACAAAAGGTCCCCCATCTCCTTTCCTCAATTATATCTAAGATATGGCTATAACGGATGTGAGGCAGATCAATCCCTTTTTTAGGTACTCGAGATTTGTGTAGCATGGATTGTGTATGTCTATGTAAAACCTCAACTGATACAAATTTGGTTCTATCAAACTTGGCACTGCTTGTCCTAGCTCTTTTCGAGGCTATGGTTATCTCAAGTTTATCCAATTCTAAATTTAATTCTAGCACTACCCAATACCCAACAATCAACAAATCTTTATCACAAATAACACTCTCTTAAAATTTCTTCCAGCAGCCTTGAAATCACACCAATGCAATATAGTTATCAAAGACTATATAATATGCAGAAAATTGACAAAACCCCTATCAACAAACATCAAAATTTTCCAATCCCATTGTAAAAACTCCACATAACTTCAAGGATTTTACTACTACTCTTGAAAATAATCAAAACCCAATGAAAAGTATTCACAAAAGGTCTCCTAAGTAATCACTTTCATCAAAATACCAAATTTTAGCAAAAAGTTGACAGCAACTTACCAAATTTGCACTTTGATGGAAAGCTCTTCCTTAAAATCCTCAAACCTTGATTTGTTGGCAAGAATTTTGATAATTTTTGAAGGTTTTGTCAATGGGTACGAGAGAAATTTGATTTTATGAGAGGATTTTTTAGGGAGAGTGGGGTTAGGGTTAGAGATTTGAGAAAATGGAAAAGAGAGGAGAAAACATGGGTTTTATATTGGGAACAGCTAAACAACTTGCTGCAGCGAGAAACTTTTAGGGTTTTTTTTTTCTTCTTCTTCGCTGCAGCGAGAGTGGGTTCTCACTGCAGCGAGAAACTCTCAAGGTTTTTTAGTTTGGCTGGCAATAAAATCTCACTGCAACGAAAATGGGGTCTCGCTGCAGCGAGCAACTCTATGTTTCTCCTATTTTTCTGTCTCGCTGCAGCTAGAAACTCTCTACTTCTCTTATTTTTCGGCCTTGATTTCTCGCTGCAGCATTGATGCTTCTGGAAGAAAAAGGGGAATTGAGACTTGGCAGCGCTGGGGTATTGGCGCTATAGCACTGCAGCTGTTGGAATGGCTCCTATTTCCACCTGCAAAGTAAATCAAATGTTGAGAAACTCAATCAATCAATAGAAAATAATAAGAACACACTTAAAAGCTAACATAAAATAATAAAATTGAAAATTAACATACTAAAAATTAGTGAGAATGTGAATTATAAACTTCAGGCAATTGAAAATGACATAGCAATTAACTAAATTTAACAAAAAAACTACCATAAGTGCAAAAACGAGAATGAAAGAGATTAAAGACTTGGGTTACCTCCCAAGTAGCGCTTGCTTTAAAGTCTTCAATCTGACTTTTTAAGAGCTCAAAGAGGATCGGCTAGACAGATAAATGAATGCTGTCGCTCAACGATCCCTCCGAGATAATGCTTCAAACGTTGTCCATTAACATTGAAGGTTTCATTTGTCTTGCTATCCATTACCTCCACAACTCTGTGCGGAGAAACTTTTGAAACAATAAACGACCTTGACCAACTCGATTCCAATTTTCTCGAGAATAATTTCAAACAAGAATTATACAGTAACACCGCTTGGCCGGGCTTGAAACTTCGTTCCACTATCTTTCGATCATGCCATTGCTTTGTTTTCTGTTTATACAATTTAGCATTCTCGTAAGCTTGGAGGTGAACAAGTAATATAGTGATAAGTAGAGTTGTCGATCTCTCGTGGAGTTGGTTTACTATTTGTTACTAATTACTAAAACTGTAACAAGCTAAGTTTTATTAAAGCAACAAAAGGAACAAGTTGTTAAAATTGAAATAAAATTTACTCTAAAAGTCTACTTGAACTTAAGGATTGCAAGTTAAATATGTAGTGAGGAAACAATGTAATTGAAGCCTAGGCCTATGATTTTAGCTACTACTTTGTAAGAATACAAGATCAATCAATTACCTACTTTTTATGAGAATCGATATTAGTCTAGGCTCCCTGAGCATGCATGATACTCCATCGAGTTATCACACAATTGCCTAGCTTCATTAACTATCTATATGTCTATTGAAAATTAACTAAAGCTAAGTTCACTAAGTTTAGGACCTATAGTGACTATGTATGATTAATAGTTATGTGTCTATCCTATTAAATAATCACCCATTTAATTTCTTAATATGGGATGAACATACATTACTCAAATTTGAGTCCTTTTAGATTGTCCTTTTCAGGCATCATTTAAACCCCAATACTCAATTTATTGGTGATCAAGCAAGAAATGAGACAATAAGCATAAATTTGAATAAACATTGATATCCTCATAAAAACAAGTAAAGAATGAATCCAAAGTATTCCAACTACACAATAGCATCCACCATAATCCTATATTAAAGACTCTAACTCAACATGTTTAAAAGGAAAGTATACATTTCAGCAAACAAAAACATTGTTCTACAAAAAGAGCTAAAGAGAGCGAGAATTAAATCTAGAGTGAAAAAATATTCTGTTGCAGGTTTTGAATCCTCCAGCTCTTGATTCTTCTTCTTTTTCCTTTTTTGTTCTTCCCTCTTTTTGCCCAAAATGGTCTCTCCAAATCCTCTTTTTTCTCATGCAAAACTTCCTATTTATACCCTTTTACTTTTCAGCTTGACCTAGAAACTCGTGCAAAAATATTCATTATCTGACGTGTTCTTGCTGCAACGAGAATGGAATTTCGCTGCAGCGAATTTGTTCTTGACTTGGCATTGCAAATAGCCTTCTTTTCGCTGTAGCAAAAATCTTTCTGACTTGATTTGGCCTGTATCTCACTGCAACGAAAATCTCTCTAACTTGGACAGCACTGCAGCGCTAGAGGTTCTATTTCCATGCTTTTTTTCTCCTTCAAGCTGCCTAGTGCAGAGCTGCTATGGACCTTACTTTCAGCTTCATTTTTTGCTATGATTCCTTATGATTTGGGCCAAGTGCTGCACACTAAAATTGTAGCTCGTCCTCCCAGCTTTCCATTGGTTCAAGATTCACCTCGATCGGACTTCTATAGCTCAATTTATGCCCTAAACACTTCAACATGTTTGATTGCTCTTAAGCCCACTTGCACCCTCCTTTACATTAAGGGATTAAATAGTCAGAAGCTGAATTGAGGGGTTTTGACAAGAAATTAAGCTAAACTTGCATAAATGGAATTTGACATCACATAAGTTAAATTATCTCTAAAAAGAAAACTAAAAACTATCTAAAGATAAAAAAACTCTAGAAGATTTAGCAAAATTCAAGCTCCAAAGATACCTATAATAACTCTATTACTTCTTAAGATGGAAAAAATATAGAATAAGGGGGAAAGACTTGTACAATATATTATGCTTTTTAGATTTTGCAGAATTGTGTCCGAGTTAAAAGAAAAAGCAGCAAAGCAATTCAAGCTTTATAGCTTCTATTATAAATGGTGCTAAGAGGCGCAGTTAAAAGGGTGAAGGTTTTTTTTTTTTTTGTTGCTTTAGAGGGGGTGGGTGGGAGGAGAATAGGTTGCAAACCTTCTTGCCATTCTCTTATCATATGAGAAAATACAGTTAGGCTGATAGTCAGTGTCTTGATTTGCCACTATATGTGGTCTTCTCTGTCATTTTTGCTCAATCCAATTCTTTGGAGATTTATGAGTTTTTGCATCCTAAAGTTTCCAATTAAAAGAAAAGAAGGCTGAATTGGATATAGTTAAGGACAATCATTTCTCTATCCTTGAATTGATTGGAATAATGATATACTAACATTTCACTTGTTAAGTTGTGTTTATTAGTCATTCCCTGCTACCTCAAAGTCTTGATGCATAAGAGCTCCTTTTGACATTTGCATCTTCTGCAGCTTGGAGATGGATTGATATATGAGGTTGTAGATGGTTCCAACTGCTTCCCACACTTCTATGGCCCATCTCGAAGCTTCGCTCCTCTTCCGTTAGATGCAGTTACAAAAGCTGAGAAGCTATCTGTATCAGATGGCCAATTCAGTTGCAGTTTACTGAATTAACTGCTCCACTTCATCACTTACTTGAGAATGTGGAGCTAATGTTGCATTGAATATGATTATACAATGTTTTGCCATTGAAATACTTGAACTCTTAATAATGGCAAACGTGTGTCTGTTTTGTCGATTATGATTAGTTTATATCGACAGCACTCGGGCTCAATTTCTATTTGCCCCGTGTCTCCTATTGAAGCATGCCTATACAAGTAGGCTAGTGGAGCAGAGGTTAAAGTCAATTGACTTTGATGAATATTGTGGTTTGTGAGTCAACAAACTCATCCTGAGCAGAGCAGAACATGCTGGAATCTGTATTCTAAGTGAAAAAACGTTCAATAGCAGCTCTCGACATGTCCAAAATGATTACAGGAAGGGCCTTTCCAAGAAATCTGCATCCCAATTAAAATGGTCTTCAACACCCCATCATTACATAAAATCACATAAAACCAAAAATTGCCTTGCCGACTGATAAACGCTTGTAAAACATTCGCTGAACAATAAGCGCGTGAAGATATGAATCGATTTCAGTTTCAGCAGGTAATGGTAAATCGGTCTGAACTTTTTAACTCAAAGCAGCTAGCAAGCTCTTGCAAGTCATCATTATTCCGCGGGTAAAAGATTTATCACGGACTTTGTATTATTAAACATTGGGAAACGGAAATTAAATGTAAATCAAAAACTCATGAATCATCTTCATTGTTTAGCAGTTGTCTCGACATTGCTCATGAGCAGTTGATTCCAGACTTTTTAATTTTTTTAGGTTTTTTAACCTAACACTCCGCATTTGGTTCTGTCAATTCAACCATCAAGCTTCTGTCGGAAACAAAAGAAAATTAGTGCGATGGACTCTGAAATGGAAATGACTAATCCCACTTGCTAGTTGTAAGCCATGCATCAGCAGCTGTATATGCTGGTGCAAAGTACCATGACTTCTCTGGTTTATGGCCAGGAATTCATCACATTAAATTTCCTAGGCCCATAAATAATACATATTCTTCAAATAATAGGTTTCATCCAATAAATGCATGGTATTTGGTCTATTTCACGCCTTTTTCTTTTGTTGGTATTTTGTACTTTATATTTTTTAACATACGTAATTTCCTGAAACCATCAGTCCTCATCTATTTGGAAAAGACAATGATTTCATAATTTCTTTACCTATACGATAACTGCCTGGTGAATGGAAATTCATTCTCCCCTAGCTAGCTGTAGTGTTCCCCATACCTTTAATGTGTATAAATATAACCATTTTTTATTCTAGTCAAAGCAAACCAACCAGTACGGTACAGATATGGGAGCACCGAAGCAAGGATGCTCTCTTATGTGTCCCTTATTCACACTTCGTGTGATTTTTTGTACTCTCCCGCTGCTTTCCGTCCCAGTCCATTGCCAGTGCACCAAAACTCCCATCATCTTCAACTTCGGCGACTCTAATTCGGACACCGGCGGCTTTGCAGATGGTCTAGGACTCAACTTTGCACCTCCAAACGGGCGTACGTATTTCCATCAACCGGCAGGTCGTCTTTCCGATGGACGATTGATGATAGATTTCCTCTGTAAGTTCAGCATGAAATCCTTAATTTTATTCCTTAGAGATGCATGAAAACTCGTGAGATAAAATGCATGAATGGCATACAAAATTGTTATATCTAGTTTAATGTAAGTATTGCAGATAAGGATGATCATTGTAGCAAGTTTGAAAATGAATAGTTATGATTTTTAAACTGCAATTGTCATACATAGCTATTTTTCAGATATAGACAAATTTGCCATCGGCTTCTTTCAAAGTAAAACCTTGTAGTTTTCGATGTATATATATGTCATTTGTATATTACTTTTATATATTAACCGTGAATTGGCTATCTTCCTGCTCCGAGCAATTTCGGCCAGAAGGGCACAGTGCCACCCCAAAGCTAGTCAGTGCCTCGGACATTTGTGAGCATTAAAGTATGGACCCTTTTACTTTAGCTGGATGATACTTTGCCAACAGAAGCAGTGGGAAGCCCAACTTGGTTCAACTATTAGAGCTGATAAGCCCACATTTTGAATCAAGAGGAATGGCTAGTTATCTCCAAATTAGACTACCAAAATAGAACATACGGCCCAAGATTTAGTTCTTTCCATTCCGAGGCAATTTAGTTTTTTATCTTATCTAGCTTACCCAACATTTTTTATTTTCTAAAGTAGGCTGGATAATTGTTGGAAACAAAGGCCAAGCCAGTAACATACCCAGAAATTGTGTTGCAGGTGAAAGCTTGAATACTAGTGATTTGACTCCATATCTGGATTCTTTGGGGCCAAATTTTAGCAACGGAGCCAATTTTGCAATTAGTGGTTCAGCCACCCTGCCTAGGTTTGTCCCTTTTAGTTTGGGCGTCCAAGTTTCTCAGTTCCTTCGCTTTCGCGCTCGCTCCCCAGCACTCATGTCTAAAGGTATGTTAGCATTCACATGATCGAAGAAAAACTTATTTTGATGACTATTTATTAGACAATTCAGCCAAGAATGATACTGATATTCAACTTCCCCCCTCAACTCAGGCTACAAAGATTTGGTTGGTGATGGGGACTTCCAAAATGCACTTTATACAATTGATATTGGACAGAATGATCTAGCTGGATCCTTTGATTACCTTACCTACGCACAAGTCGTTGACAAAATTCCTTCTTTCATCACTGAAATCAAATATGCTATTTGGGTTTGTCCTTACACCCTTCAGTTTAGTTGAAATATCCTACACTACATCGAAACTATATATATTGGATTTTTCAGGAGCAAAAGAGGATGCAAATCCCAATTCAATTTAAATAATGAAAACCCAATGCCATGTTTCATGTGTCTAAGATGTTTATTGTTTTCTCCAATCTTAAATACAGAATATATATCAAAGTGGTGGGAAAAATTTCTGGGTACACAACACGGGGCCACTCGGATGTTTGCCCCAAAAACTTGCTCTGCATGGCCAAAACGCTAGTGAACTTGATGAGCATGGCTGCCTCCACCCTCTCAACAATGCTGCAAAAGCATTTAATGCACAATTGCGGGCTTTATGTGAACAACTGAGACCTCAACTGATAAATGCCACCATTGTCTATGTCGACCTATTTTCCATCAAGTATGATCTCATTGCCAATGCCCCTAATTACGGTATGGTCACCGTTCTCAGTTTTGTCTCCTGTACTTTTGTCAGAAGCTTAAGGGAATGTCTCATGTTGATGATCTGTTTTACCTTAAAGGCTTTCAAAATCCATTAATGGCGTGTTGTGGCAATGGGGGGCCGCCGTACAACTACAATGCCAATATCAATTGTGGCCGGACTGGCCACACTGTCTGCAATGAAGGATCTCAGTTCATAAGCTGGGATGGAGTTCACTACACAGAAGCTGCCAATGCCGTTTTCGCTGCCAAAATTCTCTCTACTAATTACTCCAGTCCTGAAGTTAATTTTAACTTCTTCTGTAACAAAATGTGAATTCTATACCTACAAGAGAAAAGAAAGAAATTTAGTGTTAAATGCAGAGAGAATTAAGATACGTTATGGAACGGTACACCTGGTTTGGTCACACGGTGATAAAACACAGAGTAGTTTATTAATTATTTTCATGTGAATTCTTATCTCATAATCAGTAACGTATACGCAAACATCACATGGGGAACTGTTCGGAAGGAAATATTTTTACATAAACTATTTCCGTTTGACATGTGAACTTCAGACTTAGTCTTCCAAGTGGTGCAATTTGCGAATTATTTTGACTCCCTGAACTGATGGATTGATTTACACAAACCAGACAGAAAGTCAATGCCAGCAAATTGATCAACTAGTCTACTCGATTGATAGTAAGAGTACCATTTATTGAAAGAATGACTTGTTGAATCAATCTTGGTGAGTTCAAAAAAAAAAAAGTCAGAGAGAAGCAAGGAAATGGATAACGTAGGATTTTCTAAACACTTGATATTGCATCTCTGGATTTGGATTTTCCTTGCTATGACAGATATTTCAGAGTCCAGCCCTGCAGGTAGGCCACGTATCATCAATTTTGGTGATTCCAATTCTGATACTGGAGGAGTACTTGCCGGAACTGGACTTCCGATTGGTCTTCCTCACGGCATCACATTTTTCCATAGAGGCACTGGACGGCTAGGGGATGGACGTCTTATTATTGACTTCTTCTGTAAGTCAATCTCTGTCGAGTCTCAACCGACTTTATACCATATTTTCCAAGTACTGGTTAAACTTTAAAGTTTAGGGCTAGCTCCAACAGATGTTAGCTTTTATCTTCCATATTCTGCAATAATGATGAACAGAAGAAACAATGTAAGTAAAAGTGGTGATAAAGTCAGTGGAAGAGTATGAAAACTAGGGATTTGTTCTCTCCTCTCTGTTGCATGCATTTTGGCCTTTCTGTAGTCAAATTTTTGCTTTCTCTGTTAGGTGAACGTTTGAACTTGAGTTATCTAAGCCCATATTTAGACTCATTGGCACCAAACTTCACAAGTGGAGTGAACTTTGCTGTAAGTGGGGCAATGACTCTGCCACAGTTTGTCCCTTTTGCTCTGGATGTTCAAGTTCGCCAATTCATTCGCTTCAAAAATAGATCAATTGAACTCCAAACAAAAGGTAAGTTAATTTATGTCAACTTAGATCAATAAATTTTGTCTCGAAACTCATCTCTGTTGCTTAAAAAACATCTTACTCAGGTTTAGGAGATTTCATAGATGAAAAGGGGTTTCGCGATGCATTATACATGATTGACATTGGACAGAATGATCTGTTAATGGCATTGTATGCATCAAACTTGACATACGAACCAGTCGCAGAACAAATCCCTTCTTTTCTTGCAGAAATCAAATTAGCCATTCAAGTGAGTCCATCTCATTTCATCAATTGAATTTCCTCAAACTAATTTTGGGCTAAGTGTCAGATTACCGGTTCTCTCTGTGCCAATAGAACCCTCTGTTTGCATCTGCAGAACATATATTCATATGGTGGCAGAAAATTTTGGATACACAACACCGGTCCATTGGGATGTGCTCCAAAAGAACTTGCACTACATTCTCATACTAACAAGGATCTCGATCGAATTGGATGCTTCCGCGTCCATAATGATCTCGCAAAAGCCTTCAATAAAGGCCTGCGCAATATCTGTAAAGAAATGAGAACTGTTTTAAAGGATGCAACCATTGTCTACATAGATGTATACACCATAAAGTACAATCTCTTCACGAAGTATAAAAAATATGGTAAGCTTGAGCTTTCTTTATATATAATGCCAATGGAACTAGACTTTCTTCTTTCACCTTTTTTCCATGGTGGTTTCATTTTTATGTTAAATAATCATGTAGGTTTTGAGTATCCATTTATGGCTTGTTGTGGCTATGGGGGACCTCCAAATAATTACGATTCAAAAGCAACGTGCGGCCAGCCTGGTTCCAGCATCTGCAACAATGTATCACGATCTATAGTCTGGGACGGAGTTCATTACTCCGAAGCTTCAAATCGTGTGGTCGCAACGAGTGTTTTATCAGGCTATTACTCTACACCACAAATGAAGCTCGAAAACTTTTGGGAGAGGCTTGATTAATACTGTTAATTATGCGAACAACAAACGGCACCCGTCTAATTCGTCTCCAATGCAAGTTTTCTTCTTATTGTTTTTTATTGTTGGGTCAATAGAATCAATCATAACCTGTGCCTTTAACTTGTGGAGTTGAAACATTATTCCACCATCAATCGAATCAGTGGTTGGCTGCTCTCATCTGAGTGCCCCTTAGGCGTTATGCTGATTGCTTAGTGAAGACATGAGATTCAAGTGGAAGATGCACATTAATTTAGTTGTCTCTCCTTAATAGTAATCTTGATCATAATGATAAAAAGTAGCAATGACTTATCCAACTGTCTGTAATGGTGTTCAAGGCATTCAAAGATAACCCTTTCAGGTATGGGCATCTAAGCCCTTGGAATTTCACAATTAAAGAGGATCGAAGTCCATAACCATGTATTATTGTTCAAAAATCCAATAACCTAGTATTAGGCTAATCATCAGGAACTTATATTTTAATAGCACTTGATTTAGAGAGAGAGGATTTGAACTTGAATTTCAGTTCTTGAAGAAAGATATAGCTACCAGTTAGGTGTTTTATCTGAGTTACCAGAATGCTATTTAAGCATTGCTTTATGCTACCTCTTCCAAGTTTCTTCTGCAGGGAATTAATTAGGTCCAGAGACTTCTAGCAGCTTGATTAGCTGACAGTCTCTTTCAATGGTACTTGCTTTTTTTGTCTGCATTATGTTTCCAAATTCCAAAGTATGTACACAAATGAGAAACAGTCATTAGAGCATCCAATATTCCACGAGACCACGGCTCTGTGGTTGTGTATAGCAATTTTGGGGAAAAAATAGTGCTATTAATTACTTAACAAATAGTAGGGTTTCATAATTGCTAGAGTGGTAGCAATCCATGTAAAGATATATCCATCATTAACGGACCTACCACTTAAGTTGATTGCTGAAGAGAGAAAATAATTGATCAACCTTTTTGGACAGGTGGTTTTGTCTTTGCCTCACAATTTTCAATTATGAGTAAGAATAAAGTCCTGCGTCTAGACAAAATCATTCGTGTGCAACTCTCTTATATGAATATAAAAGGGAAAAAGACAGGGTAGAAAAAATAAAAATAAAAAGGGAGGAAAACTTTGTTTGAAAAATCTCTGGCTTTTGCCTGCGTATATAAACCTACCTCAGTTGTTTCCCTCTGCAAAATTCTTTGTAAGAAATAAGCTTTAATGGGCTTTTCGATTTCATTTTCCTTACTCATGCTGAACATGAATCAAAGTGTCATGTGGAGCTTCAAAGTGTCGAACCTGAAAAAGAAAAGAAAACAAAAGAGAAAAAGAAAGGATCAATGAAGTGCCCATCCATAAAGGGTGTGGAGAATGTTCGGAAAAGGACCAAATTTGCATTTAGTTTAATCGATGATAAAACAAGGGAGGAAAAGAAAATATATACTAGTTTATTTGCGCTTTCAATTATGCAGTTATCGTGTCAAAGCAGTTTCAGTCTTCCCAACTCTGGGTTGGAAACCAGGCATCATTTCTTCTTTTTTTTTTTTTTTGAAACATATAAGTTTGAGTGGCTTTTAAATTAATGTTTTAAGGATCAAATCAATGCATTTACAATAAATTATCTTTCTAGTTATCTAATTTTTGAATTCTTTTGTATTTGGATGATTTAATTTTGAGATATAACGTTTAAGTTTTGATTACCAACATTTATAAATATTATTATTGTTCTCACTAAACTATTAAAAAATAACAAATTTCTTGCATAACATTTTGCATTTGCTCTTAATTTTATCACATAGACATGTTCATGTGATAAGAAAAAATTTTAAAAATATAATTCCTTTTTTTAATTTTTATTTTCATTTTATCATTATCAACTAGTAGAACTTTCATAATTAAAGACTTACTCATAATTTGATGATAACACATAATTGTTGACAATGTACACATCAAATATAAACCCTATATGAAAATTCAGAATGAACCAACAATTCAATTGGCATATTAATTGCCATTGACTAAAAAAGTGCATACATCATACATGCATACTCATGTTGTATTAGAAAACTCCTTTCTTTTTCAATGTTAAATTTTTAGAGCTGTCTATGCTTTTGGACTTATTATTCTGTACACTAAGGTTCCAGACCCACCAAAACAGAAAACCATCCAATTAAACTATTTAGAATTACCACTATCATTAGCCAAATGGAAAAGAGAAATAAAGAAGATTAAACGTACAATATTTATGCTGGTATAAAAACAGCAACTGGCCACTTTTCTGCATGATTAATCCAGAATCTGAATATTATATTATTAAACTGAAAGTTAATCACTTGATTATGGTGAGGAAAAGATTCTCAGTTGTTATTATTTTATTATGGTATGTGAACAACACAGAAAGGGTTGTTGGTAGGGATTCCTCTGAATCCCAAAGTGATACACTTTAAACACGCTTTTCTTTAAAGTTAATAATATAAAATGATAATGACATCCATTGTCTTTGTAGATTTCAAACAGAGTTTTATTAATACTGATATTAGTTTATTTTTTTCTTCTATTCACAATCTTGGCATGATGAATGATTTATGACTATAAAACGATATGCATGTATATATGGGTTTTTTTTTTAATTTAAGGAATGAATATTTTATATTTAAATATTTAAATAAGAAGATAAACCTATTTATCATTAAGCTAAATATTTGAGTATGTGCTTCTAGATTTCTTAAGGCAAAGGAAACATGTAGACAACCTATATATTTATTGAGAAGAAGATATATACATCTATTTGCATTGATTTTGATTGTGTGGCATTTTATTTATTTATTGGGAAATAAGATGTATTTGTCCCTAAAATGACACCCTAACATTATAAAATTTAAACTTTTCTTTCGAAGGAATTTGATTCAAATCTTAAAATATACAAGATAAAATTTATGCAAATAAAGAAAAGCCTTTTTTTTAATTTTTACTTAAAATTAAGTATCTAACTAATGTATGCACCCACTAAAAAAATTAATGTTGCGTTTAATTTGAAAATTTTTGAAAAAGGTGAATTAGATATTTCATAATATATGAAAATATGTTTCAACCATTCTTAATTGGAAAATATATTATTTTAAATTTTTGGACTGTAAAAGAAATATATATTCATCAAAAACTAAAGTAATTATTATTTTATTGAGTATGACTGTAGCCTGTAGCTTTTCAAAGAAAAAAATGTAGCAGGCTATAGCCCTCAAAGAATAAAGGAATAACCTTGAGTACAGGTAGAGTTAGTCAATTATTTTTGTTGCGGGGACAGTGATGGATGAATAAAGATTAAATATTTTAAAAACAAATATATTGAATTTAATTAATAATTAAAAAATTTTTAATAAAAAATAATTTTATATAACATATAAATCTAAAAAAAAACTTATAATAGTTTTTAACGAAAGTTATACTCAACTATATTTTCTAAATTCAAATTCGTCAATTAAAAATTATGTATTAAAAAACTCCATTGCTTTAGGATTGAGTGTTAGACATTTTGATTCATATTACTTTTGTGTATGTGTTGAAGCATTGAGATTTGATGATTCAAATGTAGGAGAATTATTTAGACGATTTGTATCTTTTTTTTTCAAAAAATTTGTTAATTATTTTTAACCTACTCACAATTTAATCAAACTTGAAAAAAATTAATGCATTCAACATGCAATATTCTTATTTTATTTCTATTTAAACTCATACAGCTAAATATAAAACTATAATGCATAAAATATAAATAGTTAAATATGATATACTCAAGATAATTTCTTCTTATATAATTAAAATTAATTAAAAAATAATACATTGATAAAATTTTAAGTAACAGTGTAACGCTACAACTTATATTTGAAAATTATATAATAATTTATTAATTTTAAAAGATTAAAATCATAAAAACAAAATTCACATAACAGAAAAAAGTTGAACATGACAAATAAAAGATCGTGCTCATATATGACATAACAAAAAAATATAATTAATAGTTCGTAGAAATTTGAAAAAAATAAATATATAAAAACTTAAAACGTATGAACAAATAGTATAAAAAATATAAATAAAAATAATAATATAAATTAAAAATAAAAAAATTAAAATTGAGTGAAGCATGTGAAATATTGTTTATAATTTTTTATTTGTATTATTAAAATATTATTGAAAGGACCATTAAAAGAATATATTAAAACTTTTAAAAATTTTATATAATATAAAAAATATATTAAAAATTTGGCGGGCCGAAACCACTTGAGGCTCCGCCCCTGTCCTTGAGGTAAGAAAGGATAGCGACTACGCTCCATATATATATATATACACATAACGTAAATGGTTCAAAAACTAATTAATTAAATAAGTATTAGCATGATACAACAGCCGTGATATCCTTTGTCATAATGGAGAAAATTGTATGCTTTTGACTTACAAAAAGCTAAGAACAATCGTACAACAGGATTAGATAAAAAAATAAAAAGTCGGTTTTAGAAAATAAAATATTGCATTATGATGACAACTGTAATAAAATCTCAGCCGTTTGATGGTGAAAGTGCGAGCTTTTTTATTTTTATCTAATAAAAACCCTAAAAAGAGAGAGATGAGCGGTTCAAACTTCACTATGTTAACCTGTTGTAGCGTGAAAGAGCAAGTTCTAATACGATAATTAACATGATAATCCCACATGGCCCACGATAATAGCTTTATTCAACTCACTGAGGTTTTTGTCTCTTTAACTCGCATTCCATCGTGACCCTGACATGCCAAGGCGAGAAACTCAAATCGTGGATGGAGAGCTAAAACAGTTGCCCATAAACACATGCCTGGTGGTGATTCGTATTTAGAAAAAGGAACAGAAAATGGCAAACCAAGATGAGCTACAGTTATAGAAATACATGTCGTTTAACGCACGAGAATACCTTCACAGATCAATCATGTCTGACAAATGTAATTGCATGAGGTTTGAGATTATTTTTAGGGGAGCTTCGTAGGTAGTGGAATG